TAATTATGGTTCGACCTGCGAAACGTCTGACCACACCTCGTATACAGCAATGATTGCGTAGTATGAATATTGAATCATTGTTTGCAAAATTCGTATCATTTCAGCTGTACCTATACAACCAAATACAAACAGCTGGCAACTACAATGGCGATGATATAGCTGTGAAACGTAGATGTGAAAGAAGACCATAAAAAAGATCTCACTGACACTCCCATTGAAATTGTATTTGCACATACTCCCAAGAAACAGCAGTGGATGACAGACTAAATTCTCCAGTCTATGGCAGAGAGAAGAAAATAAAAGGCCAGGAATATCAGCCTGGCAGCAGATGATACGACATCTTTAATCTCCACAAGAAAACCAAGGATCTCAAACATAAAACAAACAACATTTTGAGGGACGGTAATAACAAAATCTTAGTAGGCATTGAAGAAAAGCTAGAACTATAGACGGCCCGAGCGATGATGATCGTAATGAGCATAGTCCTGTAATCAGAAAACGTAGTGCAGAAGTTGTTGGCTCGGACCAGATACATGTTGAAATATTGAAATTGATAGCCGATGAGGATGCAAATGATTTGAAAAATATCAGTTGACTGGCTGAAGTCGACATTTTCAAGGTATTTCTGCAAAATGCGAGTTACAAGTTGGCCACACGCAGTTTGACATCAGAAACGTAGCAGGTACATGCGAGGATATGATTGCTGATATATACGCCTGCTTTATTGACTATCAGAAAGCATTCGACTGTATCTCACATTGCAGAAATTCTCAAATCCTCCGGAAATTATAAAGGCGACCTGCGTGTCATCACACAATTGTACTGCAGTCTGATGAAATAAAGATTTGTAGAGGCATAAGAAGGGAGCAATTAAGATCAATCGAACCCCTATAAACAACATACGTTTTGCCGATGATACATCTTATTGGCAGGCAGTATATCTCCAAAACATGTTAAACCTTATTCCCTCATATATCATTGCTTACATATGAGTACTGCCAAGACTAAGCTGATCGTGTTCTTCAAGTCACCGAAAAAGTTAAATTTGCGAATTAAGTGTCATCCGTGAAATAGCTTGAAGCTCTTGTGAATGAAATAAGTGATCCCAAACAAGAAATCCTGTTACGAATCGAGCAGGCTTGAACGACGTTTATCTCTATGAAGAATCTCTTCACAATCGTACCAGATCCTGCAGCTTCGTGTTCGACGTTAGAATAGATCTACATATCTTATATTGAAATCATTATTTAGGGTTACGTTTAAGATATCAAGCATGAAAATATCTCAACTTATCAAGCTGATATAAAATAAAAAGGCATAGGTTGGTTTAAATATAACTAAGTTGTCCCAATTACCGCAAGGACAAACGTAAAAAAAACTAAAACAAATTATATCACATTAAAAATCGTATCATTTAAGCTTTCTTTTAAGATATAAAACATGAAAATATCTTAATTTTTCCCAATGATATAAAAGGTGGAGTCCGAGTCTGGTTTTAACCAATTAAAATTCTTTTGAGGATCCTAATCATGTCGATATGAAGTCAATAAAATATCACACGTTATATTGCATTGAATTATTAATTAAGCTTTCTTTTAATATATCACGCAAAGAACTACCTTGATTTTTCCAAGAGTTGTGAAAAGGAATGATGTGCATCGATGATTTTCTTTAATAACTGACATTCTAAATATAAGAATGTATCTAGATATACCAAATTAAAATCTTTATCAGTTAAGGTTTTTTTTATATATCACGTATGAAAATATCTCAACCTATCTAGATGATATAAACAAAAAGATTTACTTCGGTGGAAAATATTCGAAACTGTTCTAATTAACCCGAGAATAAACATTTCACACTTTAGACCAAAATAAGTTATGTCACATCAAAATTCATAACATTTAAGCTTTCATTTAAGATATAATACATGATAATTAATTTGTTCAAAAGATATAAAAGAGGGAGTTTGAACCTAGTTTTAACCAATTGTAGATCTTCTAAGTAACTCGATCAAGCCGATATCGAATTGCCACATTGCGATGAATTCTTTATTAATTAAGCTTTCTTTTAATATATCACGCAAAGAAATATCTTGATTTTCCCAAGAGTTGTGAAAAGTAATGATATTCATACGCCATTTTCTCCAATTTAAGTCATAAATATGACGTGATTATATACGTTCTAAATATAAGAATGAATCTAGATATACCAAATTAAAATCCTTATTAATTAAGCTTTCTTTTAATATATCACGCATGAAAATATCTCAACCTATCCAGATGATATAAACAAAAAGGCTTACTTCGGTGGAAAATATTCAAAACTGTTCCAATTAACCCAAGGATAAACGTTTCATATTTGAGACCAAAATAAGTTATGTCACATCAAAATTCATATCATTTAAGCTTTCATTTAAGATATAATACGTAAAAATATCTTAATTTGTCCAAAAGATATAACAGGTGGAATTCGAGCCTAGTTTTAACCAATTGTAGATCTTCTAAGTAATCCGATTATGCCGATATCGAATCATTCAAGCGTTGCATATCACATTGCTATGAATTCCTTATTAATTCAGCTTTCTTTTAATATATCACGCAAAGAAGTATCTTGATTTTCCCAAGAGTTTTGGAAAGGAATGACATGTATCGGCGATTTTCTTTAATAACTGACATACTAAGCATAAGAATGAATCTAGATATACCAAATTAAAATCCTTATTAGTGAAGCTTTCTTATAATATATCACGCTTGAAAATATCTCAACCTATCCAGATGATATAAACAAAAAGGCTTACTTCGGTGTAAAATATTCGAAACTATCCCAATTAACCCGAGGATAAACATTTAACAGTTTAGACCAAAATAAGTTATATCACATCAAAATTCGTATCATTTAAGCTTTCATTTAAGATATAATACATAAAAATATCTTAATTTTTCCAAAAGATACAACAGGTGGAATTTGAGTCTAGTTTTAACCAATTGTTGATCTTCTAAGTAATCCAATTATGCCGATATAGAATCATTCAAGCGTTGCATATCACATTGCGGTGAATTCCTTATTAATTAAGCTTTCTTTTAATATATCACGCAAAGAAGTATCTTGATTTTCCCAAGAGTTGTGAAAAAGAATGATATGTATCGGCGATTTTCTTTAATAACTGACATTCTAGCTATAAGAATGAATCTAGATATACCAAATTAAAATATTTAGCAGTTAAGCTTTCTTTTAATATATCACGCATGAAAATATCTCAACCTATCCAGATGATATAAACAAAAAGGTTTGCTTCGGTGTAAAATATTCGAAATTGTTCCAATTAACCCGTTGACGTTTCACACTTTAGACTAGAATAAGTTATGTCACATCAAAATTCATATCATTTAAGCTTTCATTTAAGATATAATACTTTATTTATCCAAAAGATATAAAAGGGGGAGTTTGAGCCTAGTTTTAATCAATTGTAGATCTTCTAAGTAACCCGATCATGCCGATATCGAATCATTCAAGCGTTGCATATCACATTGCTATGAATTCCTTATTAATTCAGCTTTCTTTTAATATATCACGCAAAGAAGTATCTTGATTTTCCCAAGAGTTGTGAAAAAGAATTGATATGTATCGGCGATTTTCTTTAATAACTGACATTCTAGCTATAAGAATGGATCTAGACTTACCAAATTAAAATCCTTATTAGTTAAGCTTTCTTTTAATATATCACGCATGAAATTATCTCAACCTATCCAGATGATATAAACAAAAAAGGTTACTTTGGTGTAAAATATTCGAAACTATCCCAATTAACTCGAGGATAAACGTTTCATAATTTGGACCAAAATAAGTTATATCACATCAAAATTCGTAAAATTTAAGCTTTATTTGAAGATATAACACATGAAAATATCTTAATTTGTCCAAACGATATAAACGGTGGAATTCGAGCCTAGTTTTAACCAATTGTAGATCTTCTAAGTAATCCGATTATGTCGATATCGAATCATTCAAATATAACATGTCGCATTGCGTTGAATTCTTTATTAATTAAGCTTTTTTTTAATATATCACACATAGGAATATCTTGATTTTCCTAAGAGTTTTGTAAAAAAAATGATATGCATTGTGGTTTTTTCCACTAGAAGTTATAAAAATGACTTGATTATAAAGTTCTAAATATTAGAATGAATCTAGATTAATCAAATTTAAATCCGTATTATTTAAGATTCCCTTTAAGATATCAACCATAAAAATATCTCAACCTATCCGCATAGTATAAAATAAAAGGGCTTAGTTTCACACTAAATATTTAAAGTTCTACGAATCTCAACGATAAAGGTTGATAAAGTTATATCACCTTAAAATCCAAGGTCTAAAGTCAAAGCTTGGTTTTTAGAAACTCTGAGTAATCCGCTTTATCAATATTACAACTCATTCAAATTTAACGCATCTCATAGCGTTACTATTGATGTTTTAAAGTAAGTTTTTAAGATATTACGCATTGAAATATCTTAAAAATTAATAAATCAATCAATTATTATAAATTATTATAAATGTTGTTGTGTGACAACATTGTTATAGTTTATTTGTTTGCTAATTTTACACTGTTACTTTTGTGGTTAATAATCATTTATCACTTTTCGATAAGTAGGTAACTATTATTAAAGAAAACATTCCTATTTCTAAATGGGAGAATGTTGCATTGGGAATCTGTTAATGAATTAATTTATTATTGATCGAAATGTTAATTATTGTAATAAAAGATACATTGGATAACTTCATTACTAATTTTATCATTAGCAGACTCTAACTTATCCCATTAATTTTTGTCTTGATGCTTTTCTTTCTACAACTTTGTCCAATAAAACTTTTTAATTAAAAAAATTGAGTCTTTTACCTCTAATATAAAGTAAACTATAATGTTATTAAACTTCTTACAATCTTAATTGTTAATACATTCGAATTTAATAATTTTTTTTGCTTCAATTAGGTTAACATACCTTGAATCATCGTATACGAAGAAGTGGCCAGATGAAAGGAGAAATCGCCGTCGAAGGAAAAACGAGCGTACGTCGGCGAAGCGTTCGCGATAAAACTTAGTAGTTGAGGAACACGAGGTTTTCCGCGACGCCAACGACGACGACGACAAACGACGCCGACGACGACGTTGACGCTAACGACTGACCGCGTCGCCGTGCAAGCAGCAACTGGTGGTGGTGGAAGTAGAAAACGGAAGAGAAGCGACAGCGCGACGTCCAACGACGGCGACGCTCGCATCCGACGCAGGTTATTTCGCGCGTTGACCGTTGCGATTTGCAGACGTTAACGGTGGCGTCGCGACGCCCGACGTCGGCCGCTACGATACGACGCCTTTTGATGTCGATGATATCGCGTCTTTATCCAAGAGAAAAAAGCAAAAAAAAGCGTAGATGTCGAATTAAATGAAGTACGATTTTTGGAATTGTGATATAAATAGTTTGAATGTAAAAGTTTTGAGATAATCATTTGAATTTGAATTTTTTTTGTTAAGTTGGTGGAATTTGAGAGATTGTTTTATGTATTTAGTGGAAATAAAATGATTTAAGGAATCAAAATTAATGTTTTAATTCTTGGGGATGATAGAGATTAAATGTTTCTGCGGAAATTAATTTATGTAATAACGTGGAATTTAATTGCTAAGTTTGGGGGGTTTATAGTTTGGTATGGGACGACTAAGTAGAGATATAAGCGAAAGGAGAGAATAGTATGACGTAATTGCCAAAATTAGACTTAATTAAACGAGGACAACTTTGTGTTCAAACGCTTCTTGCGGTTTTACTATTGTTTGAAGTTGAGATTGAGTCATAAATTCTCTCATGAAGGTTTGGGTTCTTACAAATTTAATTACAAAATAGGCAACCACAGGATCACGTTTTTAAAACTATTTGTTGCATAATTCTTAGGAAATTGCATGAAATTGTTACTATTGTAATAAAATCCCGTGCGACGATAGCAACACACTTTTACCCGTAATTTCCTATCTACTTTCTTAGCTGATATCTTCCTTATTATTACAGATAGCGAAAAACTACTTAGAGATAACGCACCACTTGAAAGCTTGAATCTTTTTCTATCTAAAACCGGGTTTTCATCTGCCGATAAGTTGATATTAAGATCAATAAAAAATGAAGAACACCGCGTTGTACTTAAAATAGCTTAAAATTACCAAACTTCAAGGCCTTGTGCAATTGTTATGAAACCGAATTTTAAAAAACTGTTATCACAGTGTCAGAAAGGACGCTGCTTCATCGGCGTCATGCTTAAATCACCCTTCATGTCCATCCCTACACGCAGAAACGCTTAAATACTCTTCCTCTAAACAACTTTCTTATTTGATACGGAGAAAACTATAGAAACATGATAGAACAGGGCTTAAGAATGGCTAAAACGTGTGAATTTTGTAGTTTTTGGCCAAAAATGTATGTGTGCGAGCACGTGATCGCGCAGTATTATACACCACTAGAAAGAGCAGGAAATTTTCGATAAGATAGATATGGTTCTAGAGTTTTCTCCTGCTCATATAAGAAAGTTATCGACCCGAACAAGGTTTAAAAATCGCTAAAACGTATGAATGTTGCAGTTTTTGGCCAAAAATGTACTTGTGCAAGCGCGTGATCGTCGCGTGTTATACACCACTAGAAAGAGCAGGAAATTTCCGATAAGATAGATATGGTTCTAGAGTTTTCTCCTGCTCATATAAGAAAGTTATCGACCCGAACAAGGTTTAAAAATCGCTAAAACGTATGAATGTTGCAGTTTTTGGCCAAAAATGTACTTGTGCAAGCGCGTGATCGTCGCGTGTTATACACCACTAGAAAGAGCAGGAAATTTCCGATAAGATAGATATGGTTCTAGAGTTTTCTCCTGCTCATATAAGAAAGTTATCGACCCGAACAAGGTTTAAAAATCGCTAAAACGTATGAATGTAGCAGTTTTTGGCCAAAAATGTACTTGTGCAAGCGCGTGATCGTCGCGTGTTATACACCACTAGAAAGAGCAGGAAATTTCCGATAAGATAGATATGGTTCTAGAGTTTTCTCCTGCTCATATAAGAAAGTTATCGACCCGAACAAGGTTTAAAAATCGCTAAAACGTATGAATGTAGCAGTTTTTGGCCAAAAATGTACTTGTGCAAGCGCGTGATCGTCGCGTGTTATACACCACTAGAAAGAGCAGGAAATTTCCGATAAGATAGATATGGTTCTAGAGTTTTCTCCTGCTCATATAAGAAAGTTATCGACCCGAACAGGGTTTAAGAATGGCTAAAACGTGTGAATTTAGCAGTTTTTGGCCAAAAATGTACGTGTGCAAACGTGTGATCGCCGCGTGTTATACACCACTAGAAAGAGCAGGAAATTTTCGATAAGATAGATATGATTCTAGAGTTTTCTCCTGCTCATATAAGAAAGTTATCGACCCGAACAAGGTTTAAAAATCGCTAAAACGTGTAAATTTAGCAGTTTTTGGCCAAAAATGTACTTGTGCAAACGTGTTATCGCCGCGTGTTATACACCACTAGAAAGAGCAGGAAATTTTCGATAAGGTAGATATGGTTCTAGAGTTTTCTCCTGCTCACATAAGAAAGTTATCGACCCGAACAGGGTTTAAGAATGGCTAAAAGGTGTGATTTTGCAGTTTTTGGCCAAAAATGTACGTGTGCAAGCACGTGATCGCCGAGTATTATACGTCACTAGATAGAGCAGGAAATTTTCGATAAGATAGATATGGTTCTAGAGTTTTCTCCCTATCAAATAAGAAAGTTGTTTAGAGGAAGAGTATTTAAACGTTTCTGCGTGTAGGGATGGACATTAAGGGTGATTTAAGCATGACGCCGATAGATATTGACCGACGAAAACCCGGATTAAGATAGCTGAAGGAGCGCCCTTTCTGACTGTGACAACAGTTTTTTAAAATTCGGTTTCGTAACAATTGCACAAGGCCTTGAAGTTTGGTAATTTTGAGCTATTTTAAGTACAGCGCGGTGTTCTTCATTTTTTATTGATCTTAATATCAAGTTATCGGCAAACGAAAACCCGGTTTTAGATAGAGATAGATTCAAGCTTTCATGTGGTGCGTTTAGTTTTTTGCTATCTCTAATAATGAGGAAGATATCAGCTAAAGAAAGTAGATAGGAAATTACGGGTAAAGGTTTGTTGCTATCGTCGCAAGAGTAAAAAAGACTAATTAAATTTAAGATCTTTAGTATTATAGATTAGGCTAAATACTTACGTTTTGTTATGATTTTCGTTTAGATTTAATAAAAATTAGGGCGATGTGCAAGAAACAATAATCCCTTGAATATCCATGACCTTCAAATTTGACCTTGTCATTTACATTTTTGACAGGTATTGATTTTGGCGACTTTTCAGACGATTTTAGATTCTAAAAACACGCAAGATCGATAGATTGTATCGATTTAGCCGCAATTTCATCCATTTCTGTATCATTTTATATATAAATTCCAATTTTTCATTTCCAAACTTCAACATCAAATTGCGACTTTATTATTAAGATTACCTGTCCCTCTTAAAAATCGATGTTTTTTTTTTTTAATCGGTAGGAAATGACTCAAAAGATGCGTTAATGATAAAAAAAAGTGCAGAAAAGTGTAGTACTTACCGAAAAATCACTTTAAAGTTGCGATTTGACGTTTCTTTTTGAAAGTTAAAAGCAATGTTAAATATGCATTTTCGTATTAAATCCTAACCTGAAATTGTTTAATTTAGTTCCACGCACAAAATAAAAAGTTATTTTCACTAAACTTATTGAGATTACAACATATTTTCGGATGAAAACCTTATTTCTTAGGCTATCAATGCATACCGACAATTACCTGTCGTTAGATAGAATTGTTTCTACCAAATGTGTGTTAATAGACTTTGCGTTAATAGATTGTGTATCAATTGATCTGTCAAACGACAGAAATATCTTTATGTTGTAAATATAAACGATAAATAAGTATAGTAGCTTATTTAATAGTAGTTTACTTAAATTAAAATAGTTATTAAAAAAGACATGTGTATACATGGTTACAAAATAAAAATAAATAAATAACCGGTGTGACGATAGCAACAAACCTTCCAACAACAAACTTTTACCCGTAATTTCCTATCTATTTTATTAGCTGATATCTTTCTTATTATTAGAGATAGCGGAAAACTAAATGTACCATTTAAAAGCTTGATTTTTTCTCTATGAAATCGTCGTTTGCCGATATGTTGATATTAAGATCAATACAAGATGAAGAACACCACTCTGTACGTAAAATAGCTTAATATTACCAAACTTCAAGCCCTTGTGCAATTGTTATCAAACTGAATTTTAAAAAACTGTGTTCACAACCAGAAAGAACGGTGCTTCAAATATTTTAATCCGGGTTTTTGTCGGTCAATATCTATTAGCATCATGGTTAAATCACCTTTAATATACATCTCTATACAGGGTGTCTCACGTAACTGGTACGTTAGAACTTTCGATCTAAAATATTTTCAAGATTAATAATATAAGTATGAAGGCTTTCACGGTCGGTGTGGATTAAACTGGGATCTCCACTATCACCAGTTATAGCTAATTTCTACATGGAATTATTCGAAGAGGAAGCTTTGAAGAAGAGCCAGTGGAAACCAAAACTATGGCTCCGATATGTGGATGACACGTTTGTGATATGGCAACATGGTTAAAAACGGCTCCAAAAGTTCTTGGATCACTTGAACTCTCAACATCCTATGATTAAGTTCACCATGGAAACAGAAACTGCCAAAAAACTACCGTTCCTAGATGTGTTGGTCACCAGGACGACAAATGGAGATATAGAACTTGGTGTATATCGAAAGAAGACCCATACCGACAGGCATGTTCACATCATCATCCCCAACAGAAGAGGTCCGTCATCCGTACATTATTTCAGCGAGCAGCGAGACTATGTGAAGGAGAGAACTTGAAGAAGGAGCAACACTTTCTACGAGGCGTGCTGTAGGAGAATGGATACACTTCGAGAGACATCAACCAGGCCATCAAGCAGTGAAAGCAGAAATAGGATACGGTAAGTACAAAACCACTTGGATTTATCTGTCTTCCCTATAAACGAATTGCTAGGCACCTCAAGAAGAACGACATCATAGTGCGGTACGGCACGGTCAGCAAAATTCGGAACACACTCCCGATAGCCAAGGACAAACTAACTCCATTAAAAGGAGCGGGAGTCTACCGACTATCGTGTAGTTGGGGGAAGGTTTATATTGGCCAAACTGGACGCAACGTCGAGTGCCGCATCAAGGAGCATGAGAGGGATGTAAGGCTGAAGAAGAGGAAAGATGGGGGACGAGGGAGAGTGGCGACGGTCCAAAGATAAGATTCTGAATGGCGACGGAAGGGAGATGCTGAGGTGGGTAGAGGAGAGGGGATGGGAGGTACTGAATGGGAATATGGAGGAGGGCGATGAAGGGGAATATACCTATACGGGTGCAAGGGGGGCGTCCGTGATAGATTATGTGGTAGTGGACCAAGGAATGTGGGAGAGGATAGAAACATTTAGGGTTGGGGCGTTGGT